GTGTTTGCTTTCTTGCAGAGTCACCAAAATGACCTAATCAAAATGAAATTCAAACGAATAAAGCTTCATATATTTCTTCTCTTTACAGATAACAACAAAACCCAACACTAGTTATTGAAATAAATAAAATTGCAATGGTGGTATGAAAATAATCGTGCCATGTATTGTATGCAGACTATTTTAAATGAAGATGAGGTAAATACATATAATATGCAGGGTATTCAAAAACTTGCACTAATAGTACTGGGGCACAAACACCGCTTTCAGTGCCATTAAGATTTTTAAAATGAATCAACCCAAAATGTAACCTGTTGAGCTATCAGTTATAGCCATTATATTCTACCATATAGACACTTATTTTGAGCATTCTGAATATTTACTTTCTTATTGATCACTGCCATCAGCTGGGAAATTCTTCTGTTACACTGCAGTTTGTAAATGAGAGAGTAGAAAATTTCAAACACATTTTTACTATGGAAATTAAAAGCTTCATGGCTGCATAGACAGGTTAAAGCTGTAGTCTGGCTGTACCAACTATTCAAGAATTTAATAATCTTTAAGCAGAAATTCAAGTTTTTAAACTATGAAAAGTTGAAGCCTGCCTGTGAATGAATTAGGTTCTCCCAGAGGCTACAACATCACAAGGACAAAAGGTACAGTGCATCCTATAGTAAAGACAAAAAAAAAGTCAATTTAGTAAATTCAAAGGTTGGTTTCTCAGGTAACGTGCATTGGAGCAGCCTGTTAGATTCACTACAAATCTCAGGATTTCTGTGAGTTGAGAAGAGGGTCCAGAGATTTTATTGGTGGAAGAAGTGGGGCCCAATGGTTTTAATAGTGATATTGGATCGTTCTAGGCAATTAGAGAGTATTTAGCCTATCATGCTCTTTTGTACTAGTGCTACTTGTAATTAAAAAAATGAAGCTTTAAGAAAGGGATAAAATATTCTAAAGGTTGTGCATGCTATCTCTCAAAAAGATGGCACTTAATTCTCCCCTGTACTGAAGTAAACTGCACAACAGAGATGCAACTTGTAAGTTTGATCTTGAAAAGTTTGCAAGGAATTCAGTTGCCATTATAGGGTGGGATTTACTTCTGCTCTTGAAATGTGCGATCATCGCAGCTGAGCAGAAATGTGTGAGCTGCCTTTTTGCTTGCACTGCTGCCATCCTTTTCTCTGAATGCCTTTACTTCTCTAGCTGCAAGGTTAGCTGTTGTACAGGCAGCTTTGGTTTTTAAAGACGAGACCCTTCCTATTCCTTAGCCTCATTAAATGTTCTGCGTTCCTTATCCCAAAGAGGCAGATAATTTTCATTCAAAGCATTATTTTTGTATGATGTATCACTTTGGCTTCCCTTTCCCAGGCACAACACTAACTGTCAATGGCTTTTTAACAAGGAGTATTGTCCAGCCAACTTCTGGGACTAGCATTCACGTGGCTGTGGGACAAAGCACTGCAGATTTGCCCAGTTTATCAAACGGGCCACCAGCTTTTATTATTTCAGGGAGAATCAAATTGGAAGTTGCTTCTTGAACTAATCAGGGCTGATTTGCTCTAAAGTTGCTTCCTGACTTAGATCTCAGGCAAGGAAGTGCTGTAATCAGTTCCCAAGGGCCGTCAGAGTTGCAATGGGATATTAAAGGAATGGTACACTACCTTTTAAGAGTTCCCTAATCTTGGCAGCTTCTCATGTTTAACACAGTTAAACCTGAGCTTGTTGTATAGAAACAGAGATTAATTTTATGAGGTAGCTTTATATAAGAGATGATTTTACTTGAGGTTGTAGAACTGAATTTTGGAAAGAATACACTCAGGTTTCCTCCAGGGTTTGTACAGTTCACTTAAAGATATAGCCTGCCAGAATTGTTCAGAACCAAACATGCACTACCCGTCACAGAGAAAGAAAAAAAAAAAAAAGAAATTCTTCATGAAAGAGAAAATGAGTCCCCCTGAGTGTCACTGTTTGCATATTAGCCCCTAGTATGGGCTCTGCCAAGTTACTCTCTGACTGACTGCTGCAGATGCTCTTTCTCAAGTATTCTGAGTGAGATCTTTAGTGCAAGTCTTCGGGGACAAACAATAGCACCTGTTCCTCACAAGATAGCAGCCCAGTTAGTCCATTCATGTATCTTTAATGAAGCTCTGGGGCAGATGGCAAAAAATGGCATCATCAACAACTTAGCACAGAGGAGACAAAAGGGGAAAGCGCCGATCCAACAATACGCTATTTTTACGAATGGGAAGAGACAGAGTCGGAGTGTTTCTCGGGCATCTGCTACAGTCTTGGTTTTCAGAAAGACCTGAGGAACATCTCAGCAATTAAAATTTCTGGGCATGTAGCCGATTTTATGAAGTATGACAATCAACACCTCCTCCCAGTTTCTCCCCCCTCAGTAAAATCAAAATAATAATAATAATAAAATCCTCAGGAAAAAAAAATGTCAAAAATTAAGGTGTCTACTCGGTTTTTGGCATTCGCTTTACATCTTTATTAACTCAGTGATCAGTGATACTTGTACATTCTCTTCCTTTTTAATGCTTATTTCTGCTTTTCAGTTGACCTGTGCTGAAAATCGACACCTAGGTATATAATAATTCTGGGTGAAACCAACATTGACTTAGGAATAGTATTTAACATGTGCCAGAGGAAAGACCCATGGGAGGGAATGCTTGGTCTTCAGTATGAGCTTTTTTTAATCTGTATAACTCTCTTAAGTGTAAACTCAAACTTACGTTCTAAATGTAAGCCACCTTTAGCCAAAGTTACATCGATTTATATAGGCTGAGGACCTGATCCAGCATTCAGAGCAGTATTTCAAGGAAGAATAGCAGATAGCCAGAACATGCGATGGTAATTCCCCACACTTACAGAATCGCTTTTATTTGAGAATTTAAAACAAAATCTTTTTTAATATGGTGGAGTGAATCCAACTCTACTAGGATTACATTGGGAAGAGGCTTATGAAATAACCGTTGCAGGATTTGGCCCTAATGATGTGTTTCAAATGGTTTTTGTGATGCTACGGTGAGAAATATTGCTATGGGTAGGTGTGCACTGTCACACTAACCACAGTACTCTGATCTCTTCTACCTTGTGTTGACGTCCTGTACCTTTGCAGCCCCATGGAAATACTTTCTGCGCTTGATGATTGAAAGGGGTATTTCTTCAGCCTTGGGTCCATTTGATTAGACTGTAGTTGGGAACTACTGGAAATGATTGTGGACTGTATTGTGTTGAATTCCTTCCAATATATCCTATAGTTCTTTCTGTCAGAATAAGCCTGTGGTTTTCATTTGCTGTGCTCCTGTAGAGCCAGTGTAAAGGAACACCACGCAGCAAAACTAGCACCATTTTATCAGAGGTAAATGCCTGTGCAGGGCACATGGGGATCGACTCCAATCTAACCAAGTTTAACTCATATCCTAAAATGCACAGCCAGGCTTACCTCAGCTAAAACGAGAGAAATAGCTGCTCAAAGCTAGTTTCTTTCACGCCCCAGTGCCATAGCAGTAATTGCACAAAGACCTTTTTATTATAAGTTGATTTTCCTGAGGAATGGATTCAAAAAAATACTGTAAAGTGTTTATTTTTTGCTTGACCTTTATTAACCTACATCTTAGGGCTTTCCCAAGAGAAGAGTTGTTGGTAAATTAACCCTCATAGACACACACAGTAGCATTTCTGCACTGCATCAATGGTTGTGAAAGTAATGGGGATATGACAAGAAAATTTGGCACTATTTAAACAATGTCATAGGTCAACATATGGGATTTGACCAAAAAAAGTTTTTTAGGAATTAAATGAAAAAAAAATTGCTTGAAGTGTACTTTAACTTTTTAATAGTATTTAATGCCACCGATTTATGGTAGGATGAGGGCAGATTTTTTTTTTTTCTGCCTAAACCCCCAATTTCTTCCTACATTTACTAGCTTTGATATATAAACCATTATATGTTTGCTTAACTACTAATCAGAAAAACCATAGTCAAACCCTTGGGTACTTCTGGGGTTAAGGAATGATGGATAAAAACTCTTTGTGATCCTAGCCACTGTCTCTGAAACACATGCAGCATAAATTAAGGATCTAGGAAATTAACATGTGGATTTAACAGACACGCTTCTGTCCCATCTCCCGTTTTCTATATGTTGAATACAAATGCTGGTATAAGGTGAAGAATTTTTTGCTTTTGCATGTTTGTGTTTTTTGATATATTTATTAAGGTCAAATTAAATTTGATATAGTAAGTTTTATTCTGAAATGGTCTCTGAATACAGCTCCATAATTACCAAGCTGCATGATAGTGCATAAAGCTATAAAACTGCTTAGACAGACAAGCAATTTGTATGTTATAGTGAGGTGTGTATGGCAAAGGATGTTAGTTTAATTGGGAGTCAGGACATTGGAGCCTTAAATCTTAAGAGCTGGGGTGTTGACTAGAAGACTAATACTGTGGTGAGATTTTGAAATAACATACCTGAGTTGTTGGTATATATATATGACCAACACAATGTTGTAAGATCTCAGAATTAAAATTAGCCTAAGGATACTAAAAATTGAACATCAAAGTAGCTACTGTAGTGTTAGGTAACTTCTTAAATGCTTGTCACTCTGCTGTTTGTGACCAAAGATGAGAAAGCTTGTGAAAAATTAATAGAAATACGTACCACTGTTCTTTTTAAAGAACCTATGGTATATTGAAAAGGTTTTGTACCTTTTAGCTTGTGCCAGGACAGGGAATATTAATTTAAAAAAAAGAAATAAATAGAGAACCAGGAAGAAGTAGGGAAACGTGCAGTTCACTGGGACTGTTACACCTTTGACACTGAGGGAAAACAATGTTAGCGAGGGCTTTGATGTGATAATGTGGAATTGGCAGGGATTACATTAAGGCGAAGGTTCTGCGGGACTGTGTGAACACAAGAACACTATCAGTACTGGAGAAATACCTGTCAAGACAAATTTGTGCTATTTCTGATCAGAGGCTCTCTTCTGTTTAGCAGGTTCAGGGTCACATGCCTCCGCTCATGATCCCAATTTTTCCACACGACCAGCGGACGCTGGCAGCGGCTGCTGCAGCCCAGCAGGGATTCCTCTTCCCCCCAGGAATAACTTACAAGCCAGGTAAGCTGACAGGGATGTGAAGCTATTTAACATTTTAAGATATTAACTGCAGCTTCCTGTGTGATCTGTCTCATATAGATGATGTTACACAACAGGCATAGCTGGTTGGAAATAATGTGGAGTTTTGCAACTCCACTTGAAAAAAGCCTTCTGGTTTGAAGGAGGCGGATGGAATATTGGTTGTTGAACATCATGATTTCTTTTTACCTTTATTTCCCACAATATCATTTGCTCTAAATGTATTGCCCCACTCGCTTAGCAGTTTGCATATGGTCTGCCCCGTGTCATTTTACAAAGGCTATGTATCTTTAATTAATTCTGTTATCTTCAGTATACTTGTATTTTGTGCCAAAGTTCTTACTCTTAATTAGTGATAAAAGTCAGAGGAAGTCTAATTTAATTAGCAGGCTTCAAATGGGCAACTTTTTGTTTGATTTCAATCTGAATAATAAAAGGTTTCAGTAGTTCAATCCCAGTCATCATTCAGACTCCTAACAGGTCACATAACCTTGCAGTGAAATATGTTTTGAGATGATTTAGCAAATGTTATGATTTCTTTCTTTTTTCCTCCGAGTTTACAGGACTCCTGGGGAATTCAATTAGGGATATAATGGTTTGAAGCTACTTTCAGAGCCTCCTTGTAAACAGGGCTTTAAATGTTTAAAGACACGTTGCCAAAGGAATTCAATGTAGGAAGATAGTTAAGTAAATAAAAGTCAACCTTATTTTCATTTGTACATTCTTTGTAAGTGACCTCAGTCCAGAAGCAGCAACCTTATTTTGCTCATTAATAGTATTCCCTGTCAAGCTGCCTTTCGCATATTAACCTGATAACTAATAGCTACAAAACATAAATACCCGTTTCTTTTTTTGACATTAAATATGAAATATACAAAGTAAAGCATTGATCCTGCTCCCACTGATGTTAGTGGTGGTTTTGCTGTTGACTGCAGCAGGAGCAGGGTCAAATCCAAAGTAAAGCCTCATAATAGATGATGTAAACAGCATACTAATTAAAAGCCAGGTTGAACCTAAAATCTTTTCTAGCAAGTTTACTTAATATTAGATGAAGTGAGGCCAAACAGGATTTCAGCAAGCATTTCCGTTTGTCCCACTCCCTTCTGTCTCTTTAGTCTAGAGACATTCCTCTTTAAACACAGAATCTTTGTCCAGTTATTATCTTATTTTCAGGTTTAGAAATCCCAAAGTTCTCTTCCAATTTGACAAACTGGCACACTGTGTGCAGGAACCAATTAATGGAGCTCTGAAAGGCAGCTGGCTCTAGATGGCACAGGATGATGGTTATTCACACACATCACCACCTCACGACAGTTGGGGACCAAAGTAAAGAATATTTTGTCTCCAAAGACATAAGAGTTGCCAGTTTTGGAAATTGTCTGCGACACCCTGGCTAATAACCTTTTTTCTCACAGACAAGAGAAAGCATGTGCTTTAGTTTCCTTGCTTTTCCCATTTTAATCTGAGATGCTTTCTGAATAATGACTATTAATGATTAAGTTGCTGGTTGTGCTTCCCCCTGAAAGGTGATATGTCAAATCACATCGTGTTGATTTTGGCTCTTTAGGCTACTTGGTCAATAATAACGGTTGGACTTGATGATCTTAAAGGTCTTTTCCAACCTTAACGATTCTATGATTCTATGGTAATGACTCAGGAAGAAAAGTACCAGCATGATTTCCTGCACAAGAACAGATTTCTGCACTTATTCTAAAGTGTTCCTTGCAGTAGCTATTCTAACAATTCATTGAGCTTATACTGCTTTATCTGTGATCCTATTGACTTCTTAGCAGAAGGTGATACAGTTTTAGGGCATTTTTTTTACTTTCCGGAATGCAGAAAGAGAGATCTGTAACAAATATTAAAAGAATGAAGTGCAGGCAGAAATCAAGGCCTAGATATGTCGGAACACAGCTAAGCTGTTTACTGATATATTAGTGGTTTATACCCAGCTGACGCTAGTGAAGACCAGAAATCACGATGATCTGATTATACCCTGTGGCTTGAAGAAGTGAGAATGTTTATATTTTTAATATATTTATTAAATTCTGCTGCACGTGTGGCAAAGCTAGCTGGGCAGGTTAGTAGTTCCTGTTGGAGAGACATCATGATAAAAAAAATGCAGTAACTACACTTGGTATTGATTGATTCCTATTTTTGGCACTCTCGGCACAGTAGTTAAGGAATTAATGAAACTGGAGATTAAGCTACACTCTTCCATAGAGAGGGTTCTTCAAAGTCATTTCTGAGGAATATTTATGAACTTGACTGCTACTACCTGTACTCTTCTACTTTTGCGAGAGATGAAACTTTCACCTCTAGAACTGTCAGTTTAGACTTGCTCGTACTTCTGAGGAAAGGTAGGAAATGGATTAACCCTTCAGATACTTACCATTTTGGTTTTGGTTGCCTTTTTAGTTTCTATTTCATTTCACTCTAGTTTGATGTAGACAAGACGGAGTTTTGACACTGCCAGTTTTCCTTGACATGGAGAAAATACAGTGAGAGGAGTTTCAATAACAGGAGCTGTGGGAACTGAGTACTTTTGAAACTGTGTCATTTAGGGACTGTCAAATATTGTGTGCACAGTCACTTAATTTGCTTTGCCTGCAAAATGGGCTAGATATAAGCCAGCTCTGACTTGGAAGCGGTGTATCAGCACTAGCGTGACAGTGCAGCCAAGACGAGAAGTCCTGCCTTGGTGTACAAGCAGGGGTACGGTTATGTGCATGTGTCCGTGCAGGTGTATCTTCACGGGCTAAGTGGCAACCAATTTCATAGCTGTTTAGTTCGATTCCAAGATAGCAGTTACCAAGCACTGTTGCAAATCTGCACTTCACCTTTATACCTTGAAGTGAGAAAATGGCATTTGTATAGCAAAGTACTCTAGGTCATGCCCTCAGTGGAAGGACTACCAGAAGAAAGGAGAATTTGGTAGGTTCTGAGGCCCTTCCAGCACATGCCTTAGTTGCTCCTGAACTCCTGAGCTCAGAAAGTCATTATGAACAGAAAACTTGAGGAATTACTGACATACAGCTATGATTTGTATTACAGCCTGACAGGACAGAGTTTCCTACTGCCTGGTAGGATCTATAACATCAGGCAGCTGTAGCCCTCCGCCCCATATTTTGGAGCTCTAGGAGGTGAAACAGGCCAAAATTAGCAAGTGCTGATGACAAGTAATAATTACATTAGAAAAAAAATCCCCAAAGTCCCATGCTTCCTTATGTATCTCAAAGTCATGTAATATAATTTTCCGGCATGGTAAGTACTAATTGAGAAATCAGAGCTGCATAGACCACCTAATTAATTTTTTATACATATTTCAGTATTTATACTGTATACTGGATTAATTAAAACTTTAGGGCGCTGTGCATCTCAAATGACTGTTGTGACTATTGACCTGCAGGCGCTTGACGAGCCTTGTAGAGTACCTGGTTGTGGGGGTTGCCACTTATTCCAGTGGGAAGCTGAGAGTGGCAGCTGTTAGGAAGCTAATACTTGCCCAGAGATGCTACACAGTTAATATAATTATTTTGCATTCCAAGTACAGCAAAGCAACTGCGCTGGCCTTCTGACTGTGACCACTATACTTACTCCTTGGAACCGGTGGGTAACATAAGTACCATTATACCTCCTCTCCCAGTGCAAATTTCCCTTCACTGAACCAACCACATGCATTCAGGAAAAGTTAGCGGGCTGGAGTATTCTTGAATGTGATTAGCGTGTCCGCATTAGTACCGTGGGTCAAGGGGAGAAGACGGTGAGTGGGATAAGGAGGAAGACGGTTCCCTCCTCCATCTTGCAGTGCCTAAGGTATTACTTCCTTTAAGTTTTGTGTCTAAGAGAGAATGGGGAACTAGGATGATGACAGGGTAAAGATACAGAGTAATGCTGGGCAGGAGCCAGTCCATACTTTGAGCAGTGCTCAAGCAGAGCTATGGTTTGCTCTGAGCAGAGAGTGGGAGGGCTGCTCTCCATGCTGGCTGCATGATGGCAGTCCATGTGATTTGGACATGAATGACCACTTTTGCTTGATAGTCATCTGCAAATATTTTGTATTATATCAGTTCTTTATCAGATGTGGAAAGTGTCTCTGAAAAAGATTATTGAAAATAGAGACATTGAGGTATGGAGATTGTAAACCTCTATTTAAAAGGGTGCTGTGTATTTTCAAAGCGTTTCTTCATATTTCATACATAAAATACATAAAGACCATGATTGGAATGGCTAAGAAACAACTACTGTCTGCCTACCTAAGTCATTCTGCTTTATACACAAAAATAATTTACAAGAGTTTTTGCTATGCTAGCAACGCAATGCAATGTGAAAATGGAGGCGGTTTTCCTAGGCTGGTGAGAAACGGAGCCAACATTTTGGCCTGGTTCTGTTCCTACTTGCACTGGGGCAAATCAACAGTAACTCCTTTGAAATCAATGAAAGTAAAATTAGGTAAAACACGACAAACAAAACTGTCAGGCTTATTGTCATCTGGCTGGACCTCAGAACATTCCAATACTGTGAGATATTTGTCATCAAACTAATTAAACTCCTTGATTACAGTAGCTAATCCACATAACTAACACTGCCTTGGATCTGCTGGATTTCACTGATATCCATCATTGCAGTTTCCATTTGGAACAGGCCTTTCAGAAGTTTTTCCTAAGGTGGTTTAAATTTTACATAGCACAGTACTCTATTTTCAGTAGGCTGCTGTTCCTCTTGGCAGGTGAGAACAGAAAGTGTACATCAAATCATCTGTGTACTGAGTTGGCCGTGTATCTTTGCGTGGCAGAGGCACTGCATGAGTCTTGTTTCTAATGGAAATTCCCCAGGACTGAGTTAAAGTCTGTCATGTGTTCTCTGTTGGGTTTTACTAGTTGGAACAAAGAATCCGTAACCTCAGGATTTGTTGTAGCAATCCATATGTGCCTCACTCCTAAATGTTGAGGTAAGAGCTGGAAGTGATAGTAGGCAGCTGAATATTTTTAGCTGGGGTTTTGCACTGAAGTTCTTTACCCACAGGCAGGCAATTGCTGGGGCAACTGATTTTGCTGCGGCATGAGGGTGGCGATAAGGCGGTGTTGTGGCAAATGCTGCTCAGAACAAAGGCAGAACTGAAGTAGCGTCATTGGACAGAGCTGTTCCATAGTATTGCCTTAGCCAGTTACCTCTATTAACATCTTCCTCAATCCTGATGCCGCTGCGCAAACAAAAGGCATGCCCTGTGCAGGAATACTGCAGGAGTGGGCATCGTATCCTTGCTGTATCCCAACAACACTCTGAGGAGAGGTACGCTTTCCTCAGCCTGTTCGTTATGCCTGGGGGGGGTAGGGCCCTGGAATTTGTGAACTCTCACGTCTCTTCCAACTCTGTCTCCTGTTATTCTGCGATTCCACGTGGAGAGTGTGCAGGTGGCAGTTTGAGATCCATGCATGAAGAGACAGATTTTGAGTTACAATCCCAAAATGCGGAGACCATCATCAAACTGAAAGCTTTGTAAATCAGATGAGGAGAGTGAGCTTGTCTTAGGAAAGATGGGTAATAAAGCAACACTTTCCCCCTACCCTGAGTCTCACAAGAGCCAGACATCCTTCTTCCCTTGCAGCTCACAAAGCCTTGATCTGGAAAGTAAGTCCATGCATCCTATAAATGAAGTCCACTAAGCTTCATTGCTTCATCCAAGACAAAAAGAAACATTTATATTATTTCTGTGTAGAATAGCAGAGTACAATTGCTCGCTGCTTTTATTCATTTGGAAATGTTGCTCAACCTGACAAATGAAACAGAAGTCTGGCATACTTTTCCATGGCTTGTAAACACCAATTTATATATAAACAACAGCAGCCAAATGTAAATAGACAATCAGCACAGCAAGGAGATTGAAGAGATCAGTTTGCAAAACATGACAGATTTTCTTCTTTCGGCATTCTTCTCACTCCTGGTTATCAAAGGCCAGCACACACCGGTACCTAAAGCAGACCTGTTTGAACATGTTCTGCTGCCTTTTGTACCAATTTAAAAGAATGGATCCTCATGCAAGCATTCCAAATTGAGAAACACATTTAAAAAAAAAAAAAAATCACTACAATGCATTGACTGATTTCTTTCCAAGACAGCTACGGAGAAGCTTCTTGATCCATTCCTGCACTGACAAAATGAGAGGGGGGGGAAATAGGTACCTTCTGTAATTAAAAATTAAACCCAGTCCATTCCCTGCGTGCTTAGTTTCCTCAAGGGAGAAAAAAGTACCTTTGCCCTGCCTTTACGGCGCGGTGTCAGCAGAGCACTCCAGAGCTGGAAGAGTATTCATTTTTGTGCTCAGCACAAGGATACTGCTAACATACCAGGACTTAGCCATAATTTAACGTGTTAAAATGAGGGTGCCTTATGTTTTAATAACAAATACATGGCATAACTATAAAATTATTTTTCCCATAACAAAGGAAAGAACTGTAGCCAGCAGGTGAGCCAGGGAACACTACAGGGTGTGGTAGAGAGACTGTGAAATTAACTGCGAAGCAAAAAACTGTGTGTGTGTGTGTGTGCACACGTGTGTGTGTGTGTGTGTGTGTGTGTAAAATATCCGGCTATTTCAAACCATAGGAGCATGACAGCTGTGAAAAAGGAGTGCCGCAGGGAATTCTTTTAGAGTTTGATTTTTTTAAAAATATGTTTGACATGGAAAATGTTTTAGTACAAATAAAGCAACTGGTATTGAACTTAAAAAGTGTATGTGGAGGGGGAGGGAGAAAGAAGAGATTGCTGTGTGGAACAGGAATGAATAATTCATGATATTTAAAGAAAGAATGCCTCCAAAATGTTCTGCAAGGCAGTCCATGCTGATAACTTGGATGGTTTTTTCCTCCCCCCATTTAAAGCATCATTAATTCAACATCTTTGTGATTTTTTTAAAACCTTGTAAGATATTTCTGAAAGGAACGTTATTTAACTTAGATTAGGATCTTATTTATTCAGATAATTTCATATAAATATCAAAGAGATGAGTAGAATTATTTAACCATAAAGAGACAGCTTTAGTACTTCAAGAAAAGGATCTAGGGGGGTTTTGTTGCTTTTTTTTTTTTTTTTTTTTAAAGAAAAAACACCCAACATCATTGCAAACTAAAATCAACCTCATGGAAGGGGGAAAATAAGAGGAGATATTTTGAACATTACTCCATAGGACATCAGTACAATATAGGGTTAGTGAATGCATTGTAGCAGAGCTCCGTATGCAATCAGAATCCAATTGTTACTGGACTGTGTACAAGCGCATACTGTGCTCAATGGGCTGATGAGGTATTAGGGATATGATGCAAAGAGACCTTGTGGATTAGACATGTACAATTTATTAAAAAAGTGAAACAACCAAACATTTAAACTGAGCTGAATACAGTAGAGGTTCAGGTGGTAAAAAGGGAGAGTTCTGAGGAATCCAGTGAGTGCAGAGACTTCAGCTATCGTTATTTATTTGAGGGGCTTGACAAAAAAAAAAAATAAATCTAACTCTTGCGATGTCCTGATTATATTATTTTGGATTTCTATATTTTCCCTCATTGCTACATTCTGGTTTCAGTGTGGAAAAGTTCATGTAAAACAGACTGATTATTGTAAATCTCCAAAATGTACAGAGGAGCAGCCTGTTAAAATGTAGCCTACAAATAGTACATAGCACTGACTTTAAATAAGAAGCTTGAGCCAAAGTGATATTCTATTAAATCATAGTTATTGTGTAATTTTTCCACCACCGTATTAATTTTTACGTTACAGATTACACTGCTAAACTATTTCAGTCTTTCTGCATTCCTTACACTGACTGAGAGTCTCAATGGCACTGGGTGATGTGTTGTTGCAGTGGCTCCGAAGTGGGAACACTGATAGGTGCTATAAGATATAACATTGCAATACTTATTCTGGATCAACAGTACCTCTCATTTTCTGGAATATTTGTAGTGCCCTCAATGCAAAGGGTGCACACCTTCAGTTTCTGGTGAACAGAACACAGACATTTCAGTGCCTGAACCTCCATGAAGCAACTGCATAATCTATCAACTTCAGTAGGGTCCCAGATCGAAGAGAAAGCTAAAATTGTATTTTGAGCTATATTTAAAAGTGATTTAATTGTATTTTTCTCTATGGCTACCTTAAGGGAGTTGTCCCAAGACAGAGAACCTCAAAGCAAAACAAGAAACAAACTCAACCTGTGTTGAGCCAGTTAGGCAGTCTTCCCAGGAAAGAGGCACTCGATGCTGAAAAGGAATCACCTTGCATTAAACAGGAGTGAAATTTCTTGGATTATAACAAATTTATCCTGCTTTAAGAAACATGTGGTGACAACAAGCTTTTTCCTCTGGGAACCAGTGGGGTTTCCTGGGGTATCTTGTCTGTGTGTCTGTGGCCTTAAGGCCCATTTTGTGCCCAAGCTTACACGCTTGATTTGAACATTTGCTTTTGAAAATGAAAATCACGAGCATCACATTTATGTTTTGCCAGTTTGCCTACCAGCTATCCGCTAACAAAAAAAGTTCCAAGGGAGCACGGCAAGTCCGTGCCCAGCGAAGCCTTTTGTTTTTGCAGATGTTTAGGCTTAGAAGGAGGGCTGTGGAGCACAGGCAATCCGAGGTCCGTGTTTGCACTTGTCTGCTGCTATTCTCTGCTCATTGTCTGAACCTGCGTGCATTGTTCTCCCGACAGGTGATAACTACCCTGTGCAGTTCATTCCATCAACAATGGCAGCTGCTGCTGCTTCTGGACTCAGCCCTTTACAGCTCCAGGTATGTGCCAGAACAAAAAAATGTGGGATCGAAGCCAACATTTTAGGGGAAAACTGCTAACCAGCTGTATGCTAAATAATAGTCTGAATGTTAAATAATTTTTTGAGCACAGCCCAGGAGGATTAACACCTTATGTACTTACAGTACTGCAAATATAGCAACGTGCGGCCAACCTTGATACTGTGAGTGAAAGACATTTTTCTGTGTGTTTTATATCGGCAGAGTTAATGGTATTTTTTTTAATTATATGACCCGTTGATGGGAGATATGTTCAAAGATCTTTTTGTACTTTATTTTCGTTTAGTCTCTCCCCTGTAGCTGCAATGCACTACCTTTAATTGGAGCCGTGAGTGTATCAAAACAAATGCGTATTATTGGGGCTTTTTCTTTTTTTTCAGACAGTGTGGTGCTGACAATACAATAAATTGCAAACTCTTTCAGCTTCTGTATTTAGGTAATCTCAACCTTCCCGTGCATTAAGCTGGTCAGATGCCAAGCGTGGTCAGGAGCCTTGGTTTGGTCATTTATTTATTTTTGGCATGAAATGTCGTGAAAGTAAGATTTATGTGCCATATTATTAGCTAGCTTTTTGTGGCAAGAAGTTTTTAATTTCACAAGAAAAGACACAACAATGTCATAAATAATGAAGAAACAGTCAAAAGCTTTCAGAGTTAAAATGTGTGGAAAGGAAGTGACAGTGAACATGAGAGGAAAGGCCATTAAAGATGCATGTAACTATTTGCAAGTAAACCTTTGAAACCCCTGTTTGGGTTAGGTTAGAGTTGGGTTCAGATGCGAAGTAGGAATAAATTGTGCATGCAGCAGCTAAGTACTGCCATGTTAATATCAAAATATCTACTTTGCTTACTCTTCTTCAATTACATCATTTTCCAGAGGGACCAGAGCAAATTAAAAATCCTCTTCTCTTTACCCAATACTGATATTCTTCTTGCCAGGCTAACTTAGGATAAGTGAGAATGGGACCAGAGCTTACTGTTCACTGATGGTCCAGAACTGGTGAAAACGACCCCTTGAGCTTATGTCTGACCTAACCTACAATCAAAATTTGAAAAGAGAACACCCTGACACTGCAGGGAAGGATCTCCCAAAAATACTTTTGAGTCATGATAGTACTATGTTAAGACTGTACTTTGGGCAGGCTTCAAACCAAAGGGGAGTTTTTCAAAAGGAAAAAAGGCAGGTATCCTTTGAAAATCTGTATTTGAATACTTACTGAAGCAAAAGTCTCATTAGCTTTAGCTGAGAAAATACTTCAGAAATTAGCTTTGTGAATAGAGAGACTATTTTTGCTACCTTTGAAATGCAGTATAACAAATAGGGAGCCCGCACAAGACTGTAAGGCAGGGAAGGGTAAAATCTGTTCAACTGCAAAAGAAACAGGATCTAAACCACAGACATTCCAGTTTCTTTTCTTTTGTAAGATCCATTTGTAGCTTGACCTACAGATCTATTTGCACATCAGCCTTGATCAGAACCTACAGCAATAGTGCAATTTCATGAATTTGCAGAAATTTTAGACTGAGCTGTTAAACATGACAAGCACAATTAGACAGAAAAGAAAACAACCAGCAAAGAAAGTGGTGCCAATAAATTCAGAAACATTTGGTTTTATTTGAATTTCACCTTTATGGGATTTCAAAACCTTTAATGTTTTATGGTCATAAGAGCTTAAGTAATAGAGTACTTAATCTTCAATTGGTGCCTGCTCATCTAATTGTCAAACTGGCTGAACTAAATTTTATTTACTCCTACTATTAATATTTTCTTTGTGTAAATTCCCTAAGTGTTCCCTAAATGAACACTTATATGGGTGTGTTTGTTGGAGGGAATTTGTTGTTATACCTGATGCGTCATCAAGACTGTTAGGGGCGTAACATGTCAGCTCATTTTTCCATCTTTGCTTCCCTCCCCCCTTTCTCTGTTTTGCTTCCTTTCTTCCATGCACCCCACCCACTTATTTATTTACGTGAATGCTGTGACCATGGTATCTGAGTATTTCCTAAGTGCTTAAAAATACTGATCACAAAACTAATCTCTGTTCCTTTCAGCCAGTGGGAGATATAGCGAATTCATTTGCAGGTTTGGTTTTGTTTCTACATGTGAGCGTGTGTGTGATATCTATGTTTGGAGAACCTGGAGAGGCAAAGCTCTTTTAGTTTAAAAAGATTTGCAGTACCTCTAACGTTTCAACTTTACCAGGGCATTATTAGTAGTTCCAAAATTATATTCCATAATCCGTATCCAGATGCAGTGGAAATGCTGCCTGTTTCAAGTTTATAATCTCTCCTCTCTTTTCACTTCTGTTTTTTTGGGATGATCGTGCTTCAGGTAGGAGCTAGCAGCAATGTTGTGTTCTCATCTTTCTGTGTGTTAGGATGACTTCTATGGAAGCTCTGAATCTAATAGCACAGAAAATAATTTACTCCCAGTTACATCATGCAACGGTAACAATTATTCCACAGAGGATGTTTCTCCAGTGGGCAATTTGTAATTAATGATTTGCCCATCTTATTCAAGCTATTTAGCACATCAGTATCAAAATGTATTTTCTCCGAATTGTATGTCTGTGTTTCATCAGTGGATTATGTACCTCCGTGAGTTAAAAAACTTTACTGAAATCATATCTGGGAGTTTCTCACATAACTGGTTTCAGTCTTGTATATATTATAAATATATAAAATAAAGATAAAATTTTAAAAAAAAAAGTTCTCTTTCAGCAACAGACCTGTTTGACCCATTTACTCTTAAGATTTTGCATCACATTGATCAGCCAGTGGTAAAATACCATTAATGTTCCGTCGTAGCTTTGAGTATCCTGAAAGAAAGCAGTAATTACTACACATTTATGACAGTCTGTGTCCTGAAGCGGTGGCTTGCTCTGCTTTGGGTTGACATCAGATAGCTTCTTTTTATCTGTATGCTGATCTCATAAGGATGGCATTGATGATTTTCTTGACAAAAAGACTTAAAACTCTGTGTTCCACATTTCCCATTGACAGCTCAGCCCCATCTCACCAGTTTTCTCAACAATTTGGCCAAGATTTAAATAATATGTATGATAGGACTGAGCCTCTTTAGGACTCTCGGTGTGAGGGAGGGTCTTGCTCATGAGGGAACAGTTCTGTAGGTATGGTCTAAGAAGAAGGACCAAGCTATTTCTGTTCACCCCTCCAGCTTCAAACAACTGTGAGTGAATCCCGTCAAATCAACCTTCTGCTAAATAGTTTACAGATATATTACCAATTACACCTGTAGCAGGTATGCATAGTGGTGTGTGAACCAGTTCTGGTGCATGTGTGTAACAAAAGTGTGTTGCTTTAATTAATCAGCGTGAGCAGTAAAACCTGTCAATAATTTTCCCTTTGCTCCTCTTTTTTATACCCAGCTTCTCTGGAGTTTCTCCCCTTTCCCGTTTCCCTGAATTTTTTCCCAAGCTGCCAAATGACTGCACTGATATTAACTGATTCTAGATATGCGTGCCCAGTAATCTTGCTAAATGAGTGAATGTGATCGTGAAATGGGTTTTCCCTGCTCTCGTGGTTCTGGTAGCAGTAACCCAGTTACTGGGAAGTCTCAGCGGGGGCAGAGGTGGCACCTACACGTCCTTGCTTTCAAACAAGGAATGGTAGTATATGGGCGTTATTGTTTAAAAAAAATCTGCCTTCATTCTTAGGTATTTCTACAAAGAGGTCTATGTGGTAAATAAGGAAATGTTGCAACTCTCTCAACCACGACTGATAAACTGTTGATAGAAATGGAAGCACTACAATGATGCTAGCTGGAGTTATTCCTAAACAAAGTGAGCTCTAGGAAAAAGAGCAAAACAAAAA